CATACTTGTGATCTGAAGGGTGACGCTGGCTGAGCCAGGTCCTATGCTGACGAATGAGGGAAGAAGACTTGCATTTTGTTGGCGCTGAACTTTTGAACTCGAGATACTCTTGTATAATGTGAATTTGATAATATGAGCTGCGCTATCTGGTTCCTATCTCATCTCGACTTCGGCTTTGTGTGAAGCTATCCTATCTGTGTGATGACGAATGTGCATGCAAATTGAACACTCCAGCAAGTTGTGAACAGTCAGGTTCCTTGCAATTTGGTATCAGAGCATGACTCGTTGCGCTCGCTGATGCGCTGGCGTGAGTAAGGCCGGCAAGGAAGACAAAGACATGCTGGCTGGAAGATGCTGGCTATGGTGGAGGTGTAGGAAGACAGTGGTTGGGATACAGGAGGGGAAGTAAGCCGAAGAGGAAGGGGCTAAGGAGGAGAATTGTTACCTGCGTGTGGAGCGATTGGAGCATTCGTGGAGTCTTCAGAGACGACTACAAAGAAGAGAAGCTTCTCCTACCCCTTACCTGGCTGCCTGTGGAGTTGTGTGTGGTATCTCCTTTTCCCTTCCTCTTTGGTGGTCGCTGCTGCTGCTGTCAGGTCGAGTCACCTGGGGTATAGTCTGGTCTATAAGGATCAAAGGATCTGGTCACGTCAGAGTTAAGAGTGGTCAGAGTCCTTGTTTGGTTCTATCTTCTTCCCTCTGGTCTAACATCTGCGCTGTAGTAAAGATAGGAGTACGCTGGGGGGTTGTGGTAGACAGCCACGTCAGTTTGCAAGCAGGGTATAAGGCATAATCAAACTAGGCAGAGATAAGCTGTGATCGAAGTATTGTCCAGGCATCTGACATAGTAAACACTCCAGTTTTTCCCTTTATGAGGACAGACAAACAGGGTTAGTAAAGAAGATAAAAGAAAGAGAAAACATTCACAGCCAGACAACAGTTAGAACACACCAGGTGGACTTTTGACTAGGATCAAGTGTAGTACTTGTTCTGATTAGTTTGATATCTGAAGTTGAAGACAGACAACAACTAAAAAAGAAAAGAAGTCTTAGTGAATATTAAAAGTTTTCGAAAGTTCTGAAATTCGTTATTGTTGAAGCAGCGACATCCAGAATCTGAAAAAAAAAAAAAAAAACAGAGTAAAATCATCATCCCATCCACAAGATTTAGACCAGGGTTAATTGGAGGGAGTCTTACCTGGTGGGACCAGCGGAGGGTTACCTGTGCTGAGTTCCATCATGGACGACTACCCTATGCAAGGGTTGTTGGCCCTTTCTGTTCTGTTGGGCCCCTTGTTCAGAGTTTTCTTTCCCCTGGGCTTCAGGAGAGTATGTACCTCCCGTATGATGATGCGATTAGGGACAATCAAGCCAGGGCCCACGCCTGCAGAACAGGCTGAGATTGATCGCTGGCAGGCATAAAAGAAAAAGGAGAAAGATGAAAGAAAAAAACAGAAAGAGGAGGAAATAAAAAAGAAAATGTAGATGGAAGAAGAAAGAGTGTAGAAGGAATGAAAGAGAAGTTGAAAAGAGAATTGAAAAAAGAACTGCAGACCATAGAAGAAGAAGATGAACCTGTTGACGACAGGCTCATCAGGCGGCGGACAGAAAAGGGGGAGACCAGCCAGACAGGAGGGGGACTTCAGGTAAAACCGCTGGATTGGTATGATCAGTATGCCTATACCAGCGACCGAATTGAAGAAACAGAGATTTGTTCGTTGCGAAATTGGCATCTATTAAAGATCAAAGGGAAAAAGAACTCTTGCTAGAGGAAAAGCGTGCGGAACTGCATATGAGAATGTTAGCAGCAAAGCGGTAGGAGCTTGATGAGAGAAAAAGGCTGCAAGCAGAGGGTATGAGGTTGCATAAAGAACTGCAAAATTAGAAAGAAAACCAGGCTGCAACAAAAGAAAAACTAGCCCTCTTGACATAAACAGTCCTACATACAAAGCAAGAGCTGGAAGCAATGAACAAAACTCTACAAAAGGTTGAAACCCACCAGTATGAGTTTGAAGGAGTTTGGAATACCTTCCTGCAAAAATCTGTCGAAGATGTGGATCTGCACATACAATCATATATTGAAAAATTAGATAATCACATCACCCAGACCTTCACTCCTGCCGTGATTGATAAGATAGTCCGGGCCAGCGGCGGAGGAGGAGGAGATGGAGATGGAGATGGGGGAGATGATAAGAAAGGAAAGGGAGTACTGTGAGACGACAAAGACACTGATATAAGAAAAATAAAGGTTAAAGTGTCGTGGACCTACACTGGCAAGAAGGAGGAGAGTGTTCTTCATTGGATTGAGGCCGTAGAATCATACGTATACGGTCAACGCATACCTTATTGGGATACGGTTCTGATGGCCACTTCGTGCATGGCCGGCAATGCGATGAGCTTCGCCATATCGTTGCAAAAGGAAGCTAAATGCGATGCTATGATTGCATATTCACAACAAACTAGAATTGAAGATTTCTTCAAAGCTGTCAGAGAACGATTTGAAGACAAAAATTTAGCTCGCTGGACAAAAATGCTAATTTTAAATATCGCAGATTGGAAATGGAAGAGTGCATCTATACTCAAGGCAACGATGGATGAACTCTTGCAATGCGCAGAACATGGGCTAACTCCTACCCAAATACTCAACAACTTCGCAAGGGCACTTCCTGACCCTCTCCGTACTCTGCTTTATCCCCGCACAAAGGAAGAGGGGATGACGTACGAGAAGTTCAACAAGATCGCTATAGATCATGCTGGCTTCTTGGCTAAAGCTAATTACTGCCATTATTGGAAATATCTGCAAGCGGGAAAAAAGTGGCAGAACCGCACAATCTCAGGGAATATACATGGGAAAGACAACCTCCTTCTGACCTTTGAAGAAGGAGGTGTCGAAACTCTTTCCTATGACCAAATAGATTATGGTCTGGAAGGAGGACCTAACGGCACGGTAGTTCAGGAGGGGGACTACGCGGCCGTTGCAGCCCGGGGGGGAGGGCGACAAGGAAGAGGCCGTGGCCGAGGAAGAGGAGGCCGCGAACGCGGTGGAAGAGGACCCGGCACCCAGAGGGGTGGTGGCGAAGGTAGCTACTACGTGGGTGGAAGGTGCAATGGTCCCTCGCAAGGTGACCGAGGTTCGTATTCCACCTGGGGAAGAGGAAGAGGCGCGTGGTATGGTAC